GGATGACTACGTTTACTGCATAATATTACTCTTAAATGGAAAAATAAAACTACACCATAAACTCTGAACCCCAAACCTGAACCTCAAAATCATAAAAACCTGCCCCTTATAACAAACGAGCAGTTAAGCTGTGTTTTTGCTCAGGGGTTGAATGTCACATCAGCCGATCTCAGCGGAGTCGCCTGCCAGGAGTACACTATGTCTATATCGCGGTCGTCGCAGGGGGTAGCATATATATATATATATACATATCTACTTATCTGTTTTTATTATACGCCATATACTTTCACACATTATATATACACATGATTTCACCTTTTTGTTTTACATCAAACTGTTCAAACAAAATGTTGATTATGAATTTGCGGTTTCTTGTTTTATATTATTCATCATACATCATTTAGAGTTAATATATACAAGTTGGTAATTCTGCATTATTTGTATGTTTTGCATCTTCATCATATGTCATATATCATATACCAAACCTTTGTTGCACATGCTTCACATGTCATTTGAGTATCATACCTTATATATTTTGCTGTTTAAACTACATATTATATCGAGAGTGCGTCCGCCAGTTATAAATTTCAAATGCGATGGTTGGATGTTTCCACAGGATGTGTAAACTCAAAAGCTGCATGGCCGGTGATAAAACTCAATCATACAATAGAGATTTGGGCTTCTGCTACCAAGCCAGAAATTCAGAGTATTCGGATGCGCAGCCCTTTTTTTCATGTGTCGCAACCCGTGTTTCAAGGTTGTCATCCATTTTGTTTGTCAAGGTTTTTATTTTGACATCTTAATAATTGACACCGAAATGCTACATTTAGGGATCACAATGCCCCCATCGTCTCCACAGTTTGGATCATAATAGTTCTGTCACCTATCAGCTAGTATCAGGGTTGTTTTTTTGGTGGTTTCCACCATTCCTTTCTGATATTTCAAGTTTCGGTTGTCTCTTGAAAAGCGCGAACAAATCGGCGCTTTTCCCCAAAGGCACAACGGGGTGACACCGGTCTTCAAAACTTTAAACCCCAAGGCTCCTATGAATTCGCATATGTGTATGCACCTATCTGAAGGCTGACCATGTCACTACAGTATCAGTAGTTTTCCAGTATTTTTACGCATAACATGATCATGATATAACATCTGTAGCTATATATAGGCCGCATGAGTGTGTGTATATATATATATATGCATGAGGGCTCAAGAATTGTCTAAATGTACTACATCATTAGACATGTATATATATATATATATGCATTTATATCTGTATGTTTGTTGTCACTGTGTATACTCGCACAGACTCTCAGAGCTTAGATGCATGGTACATATATAAACGAACACACATGCGCTGTCACGTGGTATTTCAGTTTGTATGTACACCTAGATACACATAACTATACACATGCACACATGCATGGGCCGGGTGTGAATATTGCTAATAGCAGCTGCACATGGTGGCTTTAGAGCCCGTAGGGCCCGCACAGGGCCCGCGCAAGGCCCGCGCAGGGCCCGTAGAGCCTGTAGAGCCCGTAGGGCCCGTAGGGCCCGTAGAGCGCGCAGGGCCCGTAAAGGCCCGCAGAGGGCCCGTAGAGGCCCGCAGAGGGCCCGGGCCGGATATGGTACTCTTCTCAGGAGGGAGGCCAATTATTAACCCTATTAGAAACCCTAAACACTCCATCAAGACCCTAGAAGCCCCAGTATAAACCGGATTATAAAAGTAAGCCCCCTAAACCCGAAAACCTAAACCCTAAACCCTAAAAGCCCTGCGCGAGGCGAAGACGGAGTGCGGTATCCATACGCGTACCACCTTCGCCGGCGCTCCTCACGGCGGATCCCTCGTCGACTTGATGGTCAAGGAGTGCATTGGAGTTGTTTTCGGACTTGATTTCGATATGGGTTTAGGGTTTAGGGTTTAGGGTTTAGGGTTTGAGTATGTTTGGGGTCTTTTTATGTGCCCGTCAAGTTTCTGACGGGCTTTGGGCAAGAGTCCCATCAGGACATACCAGGGCTCAAAATGCAACGAAACCTAGCCCCTTGTGTAAGGGAGTTGCAGATCATCTAGGCTAGGAGGCACTTTGGCCAAGTTCTATTGTCTAACTGAGCTGCTGCTTGGTTTGGATGATCGGATGCTTGTTTAAACTTGTCGGAATCTCTGATGTGTTGAACCTGTAAAAACCTCAAGCTCTGAATAGACCTTGCTCGAATGCCTTCTTCCTTTCCACGCTTTTGCCTAGACGCGTTTTGCCTGAAATCTGCCGTCCCATTCGGACCCTATGACTGGAACTTCAAAGTACTTTCGGGATCCAGCTGAACCCTAAATCCTAAACCCTAAACCCTAACTGTCTAAAGCTGCAAAAATCTCGGCCTTTACAACCTGGAGCCGTGCAAACCTTTTCAGGACGCGGCTACCATCAAGAGCCTCACTGCCAGCACAGTGAAGTCCATTGAGCTGAATGAGCGCCAGGCCAGTGCTGCATATTTGAGTTTAGGGCTTGTGTTCGTGTACACACACAGAGATAATATATATATATATACACACATATATACATATGTATATGTAGAGTGCATGTATGCAACTATGTATGTATGTATGTATGTATGTATGTATGTATGTATGTATGTATGTATGTATGTATGTATGTATATAAATATATATATATATATATATATACACATACACACATATACATACACGGGCTTGTGGGGATTCGCGATAGAAAGCTCCTCTCAGACCGAGGTCCAGCAGCAGTTTCGAAGATGTCAGCCATGGGGCAAGCTTTGGAAGTCACAGAACTTCTCAACGTGCCTAAACCTTAAAGCATCTTAAAACCCCAAACCCCTAAACCCTACAAGCGCTAAACCCCCAAAACCCCTAAGCCCCCAAGCCCCTAACCCGAAGTTTCATTCCCAAGCAAGCCTCAACCCTAAATCCGAAACCCTCGACCCTCAACCCTGAAACAACCCAAGCAAGCCTCCAGGCGTGCGACGTCTTCTGTTTGCTCAGTGGCGCCTTCAGCCCCCTCACAGGCCTCGGTTTAGGGGTTTAGGGCTTAGGGTCTGGGGGCTTCGGCTTTAGGGGTTTAGGGTTTAGGGCCCCTGGAGCTCTTGACCAAAATCCGGCCTCGAGAGCCCAGTATCCTTTCCTTGGGGTTTGGAGTTTAGGGCTGAAGGCTTAGGGCTGAGGGTTGAGGAGTTCAGGGGTACTCTGGAATGATTTGTCATAGTACGCCCATATAGTTTGTATCAAGTACCCCAAAACCCCAGGCTCATGAAGGAACTCTCTTAAATCGGAATGAGAAACCCTGTAACTTTCGAGTTTAGGGGCATTCAATGTTGAGCTCTCTCGGGCTTGGACTACGGCAACTGCGGGAGAAGTCAACACCGCCCACCCACCCATCCACCTAGCCGCCCCCCAAAAATCAACACATGGCCTTTGTGTGGCTGTTAGGTCCGGTATGTCCCAGTCCCTGTGCGTTGCGTTGTCTACGGTGTTGGGGCAGGATTTCCAGGAGAGGCCATGATGGGGCCTGCACAATTGCTAAACTTTGCGAATCTGTATTGTTCGACCTAGACCATAGCCTTAAGACAGTTGGACAACGTAGGTGTCACATGGCTAAGCTTCCGTTTCTAAGTACTAACAGGATTTGTCTCTTGGCAACAATTTATAACCTAACAAACAAAGCACTGAGTGTGGCTCGTTGTGATTGAAACAGTGTAAAGGTCGTCGTCTTCAGTTGGTTTTTCTGAACCGAACCCTTTTCCCGCCACTAGCCCAAAGCCCTGCTAGCCGTGACACAATCCGTTGTATCCGGTCGCAGGCTTCATGGAGGAGGCTGCCTACAACTCCGTGGTGAAGGACGCTGCACTGAGCAGTAGTTGTGGCATCTTGCAGCGCTGGCCCTTCACGCAGCATGTTCAAAATCCGAATGCGATGAGTCTAGACAGGCCCGTGTTGTCTGGCTCCATCAGAGCAAGGATTGCGTGGAATGAGTGCTTCGATCTGAGAATATTCCAGTCTGCAGTTTCCGACCCATTTCAATGCCAGCTATAACCTTATAGGATCCCTTACGTATGACAGCAGTTCCTTGGCCACTCCTCTTGTCTATGCTTTCCCAGCATCGGGACACCTACGGCCTACGGTGTATGGACGCATCGCCATGAGCTGTGCCGCGAATCCAAATAAACCCAGGAAACTGGGCTTTGAAAGGGCTTTGGAGTACCATACTTTAATACTTTTTTTGGGGACCTGTTCCTTAAAGGAACCATTATGAAATAAAAGTTTATACTTTTTTCTCCCCGGTTACTTCGAAACCCAGGAAAACGCAGCAAGAGCTGGAGGTCGATGCTGCGGCAAAGAAGCAGAAGGCCGAGAAAGAGAGGATTCGCAAGCTGATCATCACTTTAGGTGACTAGGTACGCCTTTTGGATTTTTTTAATGTTTGCCCTTATTGGGCCTGAGAGGGTCTTATAAAGGCTTTAAAGGGCCAAGCTAGGTGATGAGAACAAGAAAGTCGTCTCTCAAATCCGTGGCCTGGCTGCAGCGCTGGAGGACGACATTCCATTGCATGGTGATCTCATACGACGAACTCTGATCGAGTGTGCAAAGTCCCTGCCTGTGAAGTCTGGTATTTATGCGGCCTGGCTATCGAAGATGGCCGAAAAGCACCCCGAGTGGTCTGCGAGTGTCGTCTCTAACTCGCTGGAAGAGCTCAGGGCAGCCATCCAGGGCGGACGGACTGCTAACACCCAGTTGCTCCTGCGATTCCTCGTGTCTTTGGCCAACACGGGTGTGGTCGGTGTCAATGATGCACTGGAGTTCTTGAAGGAGGTGATGGGTTTAGGCCAGAACCTGCCACCAAACAAAGGAGGCGATTTCGCCTGTTTCATGGTACTTGCGCAGCTTCCTTTTCTCAGCGCCGCAGCCTACCAGCAGGGCAAGGACAAAGTCGATGGGCTCCTGGCAGACGCGGCGAAGCACCTGCAATCTCGAGATCCCAAGTGGACATCTTTGCTTCAAACCACGGAAGGGGCTGACCTCTCAGACAGGTTGGAGGAGATCCACAAAGGCTTGCAAGGCCTGTCCTCAAACAGCTGGTCTTCACAGGTTGTTCTCCATGTGCCTGGCACCCAAGCCGCTGCAGATGGTGTGGCCGGGATGCCGGACGTGAAGTTGGACATGACGGCAGAGGACTTCGGCAAGACTCGGCCGCGGCAGCCAGTTCCAATAGTTGCTGCGAAGCTTCTCACCTCGCAAATGGATGCAGGTGAGTCTCTGTCCATCGCAGATAGATGGGTCTTGGAAGACTACGTGCTGCTCACCGTTGAGATGTTCTCCAGCGATGTGGAAGAGTGCAGCAAGCAGCTTTTGAGGATACCGGTCCTACATCCACACTTTGAAGCTATAGTTGTGGAAATCCTCTTCTGCCAAATGCTGCAGCTGCCTGTGCCAAGGCTAGCGCCTCTATTCTATTTCCGGCTTATGGAAGTATGTGCTGAGAAGCAGACCTCCATGAAGAAGCTGATTGATGCTGCTTTTCAAGCGTTGTTTCGGAATTTGGAAGATCTGGATGAGGATTGCCTGGATGTACTTGCAGATGCCTTCGCATGTCGGCTGTCAGACAATGCTTTCCAAGCAGATTTCACCCTCTTGGTTGGGCCCAAGTCAACGGACCAGGCGAAGCGCTTTGCCCAGTGGACTTTGCAGCTTAGTTCTCCAATACTACACCCTAAACCCTAAATTTTTTTGGTTTCTTATACTTTAGTAGTAATCTGACAGTTTTACCTTTTATTTCCCTGGCTTATTGGGGAAGTAAGGCAAAAGCTGCAGCGATTGTTGGAGCATACGAACATGATGTCAAAGCTGCCGGAGGCGCTGCGCTCCATAGCACCGGCAGAGCCCAAGCCAGCCAGCGGGCTCCCCGTGGTCTCAAAGCCTCAATTCGGTCGCATGATCAATCTCGTGAGACTCAAGGATGCGAATGCAGAGAAAGTCATGGAGCTTCTAAGCGGCACTTATAGGGCCTGGGATGCCTCCCTTCCGAGGCACCTACTCACCCGATGCATAATCCGTTGTGGGGGCTCTTCCAGAAGAACCCCCACAAGCCCTAAACTCTTAACCCCTCAACCCTCAAACTCTAAACCCAGGTTTTGCCAGTGGCTCATGAAGTCCGGAGACCAGGCCAAGGATGACTCGGCCGGTGGAAAAGCAGAAGAGGACAACACCATAAAGGATTCAGGGTTTAAGGTTTATAGCAAAAGGGTTGGGCTTAGGGGTGGCAAAGCAGATGAGGACAAGGACGAGCCCGACGCGAAGCGGCAAAAGACGGAAGCTAATCCTCAAGTGCCTTGGTCCTCGTTTACTTTCTTGCATCTCTGAACGGAAACCCACTGCTTTTGGAAACTATACGCTGGCCTGAAGCATGTTTCTTAGAAACATAAGATTCTCACTGTCCATACTAACCCCGAACCCGAGACTGTAAACGCTATTTCAAGACGGAGCCATAAACAAAAGGATCCCTATTCAGTGCCCCTTTTCTCTGAAACCCTGCCTTAAACCCTAAACCCTAAACCTCCAGTAGAACCCTTATAGACCCCTGAAAACGAGATATTCAACTCCTAACCCTTAACCCCCCCCTTTCTCCCCCGGTCCAAGAAAACGCAACAACCCTAAACCCTAAAACCTACTTCGCGATTCGCTCAGCCATGTAGGAGGCAAAAAACCCCAAACCCTAAACCCTAAGCTCCAGAAGACCGCAGGTCCATGAGGATTTCGGAGAGCCGCCTTTGGAGCCGTGGCGCTTGGAGGAGGTGGCTGAGCTGGTCCTTACTGTGACTAGGTCTTTGTTAATTAAGGATCGCATAGTTGGGTTTAGGGTTCAGGGTTCAGGGTTTAGGGTTGAGGTCTTTGTTAAGGATCGCATAGGGGGTTTCTTGCCGTTTTATTTTATGTGGGGGGGTGTGATAGGGATATGTGGAATTCTGTGTCTATGTCCTCACTACTGACTTCGTCTCGAAAATAGACTTCTTCGAGCATCTATGCCTTCTACGGTCGGTGCATGCGGCTATGCATATGGCTACAGGGGGCTGTGATCTGTCTTCGGACCCCAAGCTTGGATTCGGCTGCCTTGTAGGTACCATCATTATGGAACAGGCGAGTTGACGTTTCATTAATATAGGGGCCTTTCTAAGTAGAATAGGGTTTTTGGGGTGCATTTTGCTATAAATATAATAAGGAACCCCCAAAATAGTATTGGGAAGTATTTAGGCCCCTACATTAGTTTGATCCTATTTCGAAACTCAGGTGATGCTGCAGCAGGGTCACAAGACCCCCACTCACATGGCAAAGATCCTGGATGGGCATGTAGAGGTGCTGATGAAGCTGAACCCTGAGGATGAGTCTGCAGCCGACAGCTTCGGCAAGGCTTTGGCCAAATGCGTCTTCGAGTTTTGGCGGGCAAATGGGCAGCGGCTGGAGATCACGATCGATTCTTTGCTGAACAGGAAGGTGCTTTCTCCTCGACCTGTCGCGGAGGTTGCACTGTTGAGCAAGGACCTTGATTCCATGCACATACGCAACGTTCTGCACACCGCTGTCAGGAAAGGCCTGGACCGTCTGCAGTCATCACGAACAGAGCTGGCTGTTGCAAAGAAATTGGTTCAGGAAGATGCCTTGGAGAAACGCCGGGCCGAGCTGGAGAATGCAATTCAGCAGGTAGCATCTCTGTTCTTGTGCATATTCACTGGCTTGGTGAGAAACGTGGAGGACGCTCGCAATGATGCCAGCCTTTGCAAAATCAGGCTGCGTAGAATTGCAGCCGTTGGTCGCAGATACCTCTCAGACATCAGGCCGCTAGTGGATGCTGCGGGGAGCAAGATTCCCGGGGTCTCTAGCAACCCGGACATCGCCGAAGTCTTCGCGACACTAGGCACCTTATGATGACAGATGACCTACGCAAGAAACTCTGTACAGAGCCACCGAGCAGTTTATGAAAAGGCGGTATTGCAGTGTCCCGCGAATCGGCTATGCAGCTGCTGAGAATTGTGGTGAGTCAGCCTGTCAGGTATGTCAATCATGCGATCACTCGTGCTCACACTCGTGCTCACAAGCAAAACAGAACCATAGACTGACCCAAGTTGTGAATAACTGAAAAGTATCATTTAATGCAAGATACTTCCGATGCTATACGCATATGTATATACATATATATATATATATATTTTTTATACGTGCATGTGTGTGTATATCTCTCTCTCTCTCTATATATATATATATGTATATATATATATAGACACGCACACACACACACACACACATATATATATATATATGCACATGTATATATATATATTTATACATATATGTATGTATGTATGTATGTATGTATGTATGTATGTATGTATGTATGTATGTATGTATGTATGTGTATATATATATATATGTCTATGTCTTTGTCTATGTCTATGTCTAGGTGCATGTGTACTTGTACGAATACGTCCACGCGTATGTGTACGCGCACGTGTACGTGTACGTGTGTATGTATGCATGCATGCATGAATGAATGTATGTGTATGTATGTGCAGGTATGTATATATGTATGTATATATGTATGTATGTATGTATGTATGTATGTATGTATGTGTATATATAACATTCGTTTTCTAGTTCATAAAGTGTTTAATACAAAGTATATAGTATATGGTACATGGCAGCACACACATAATATGTAGTATGCAGTATATAGCATATATAGTTTATAGGATATAGTCTACAATCACGAAAGTTAGCTCATTTTGGTCTGATAAACCGAAAGTCAAAGGGTGGGGGGGGTACCCACCCACACCTCCCGCCTCAACCCTTGCCTTCGCGGCCCAATCTTTCAGGCAGAAGCTACAACTCAAGCTCCAATATTTTTTCAAGGACAGGTGTCTGCGAACTTACTTCAATACACACCAGTCCAATCCCTGTAGGTGTGCTTTGCGTACTCCGTACTCTCTCATCACGCAGTATATAACCCAGCCTTTCAGAGATCAGATGAGGGTGGTAAACACTTGAACGCAGGCACATGGCTTTGAGTCCATGGAGCGATTCGGGTTAAGACCAGGACTTTGCATACGGATTGTTGAAATCAAAACAGAGATTGCTTGAAAAAAGCTTGCATAGCTTGTTCCACAAGATCGTGTAGTTTAGGATTCTACCCACCCGAGTCTTAAGCAGTCGGGTTTTGCTTTCTATCACTGGGCTCCTAGGCTGCTATCAGGGTTCCGGTCTCTCGAGATTCGAGAGTCCGGCACTGCGTTGCCGGGTTCGTTGGGTTTGGGCTTAACGACTCTTTCGTGTTCACGACCCTGAAAAGTAGAGGCTCCTGAAGAAGCCTGAAAATGCGGACACCCTTCGCATTAAAGATTGCATCCTCAAACTCCTGGTGAACCATCCCTTTAAACCTTTCAGGAACTACAAGTCTCCGTTGTTTTCTCACACTTTAGTGTCCGTCTCACTTTGGTCGTCATAGCCACTACCATTTTGTTGGCTATTTCTGCCAATGTAAACTTTCAACAACCGGCATATTCTATGTACGTATGGGTAAGGCAGGGAAACTACTAGTGACACGTAGATGGGCAAAGGAAGGGAAATAGACCGCAGCAGAAGCTCCCTGTGCAAGGCCTGCGTCGGGGTCGGCTGTTTGGCTCTGTATGCGCGTGCTGCCCAGCATCTCTTCCCGAAAGGTGGAGGCGGGGGTGATCTCCACTTATGTGGGTACTTTCGCTTCAGAACCTGATATCTGAGCCCAGCGCCTTCTTGATCTTCTTGGACATGGCTACGTTCTTTTCAGCTGCTGGGGCTTAGAAGGCTTAGAGAACCTTTCCGGCAATGTGCGGACAGACGGTTTCGGCATCAAGATCGTCGTAGCCGTACCGGGCAAAGGATGATAAGTCTGCTATGGTCACATGTAGCGGCGGCTCATAGACGCAGATCCTTCAGTCAATGTTTTATGTATACAACGTAACTTTATGTTTGTACATATTGATTTCTACATGTATGATCACGATTTCTACAGGTACATATGTACTAGTTGAATTATTCACATGGTCTGGGTGCGTTTTCTCCCAGGTATCACTATCATGAGATCTCCAAGTGGTGACCTGTCTTCTCATAGCTGAAACTTTAAACTTAAAAGAGTGACGTTTTTCTCGGTGTTTATTCAAGAAGTGACAGCTTGCTCGATATTCCCTCGATGATATTCGATCATAAAATGTCCTAGCCCAGGTCACTCAAGGCGCTTCGTTTGAAGATGGAGTCTTTGCAAAATCGTGATGATTTATTCTGGATAAGACTCTTCAGATGTTGTGCAGTGTGGGCTTCGCTCCGGCCCTGGGACCTCGATCCGATTTTGTCCCAAAGGGTTTAGGGTTTACGTTCCAAAATTATTCAACGCGTCGCGGTTCACACGCTTAGGCGTGACGCTTCAAGCACTGCTGCGCCTTGGGAAGGACTTGGACTTCGCCGACCCGAGCCCTGCGCAACCTTCCCCATGGAGCGGCTCGTTCCTCGCCTTTTGAGATTTTCGCACCGTCAATCTTGATCCTTTGGTTCAGCCCGATAGACTTCTGAATCCAAGGCCTCGAATTTTACAATGGATCTCTGGAGTTTGCTGCAGTTGGGTCGGTCAGAGCTTCCACGATGTAGACATTGATATGTGCATGGGATGGGCTTGGTCAATCAGGAGGACTGTAGGGCGACTGAGGGAATTCGGTTCGGAGTCATCCAGGTTTCTGTGTCTGGGAGTTCTATTGCGGCTGTTGGTTCCATCAAAGCAGTCCTCGCCTGGGCTTAGTTTGCGGCTTGGCACATCGGTCGTTGAATCGCGACTCTGCTCCTTCAGGTCAATCTCAGCAGTGTGGCCAGAGATGCGGAGGCTCAGGCGCGACGGTGAAGTCTGCTTAGAACTCGGCATAGAATTGAGAATGTTGACCAAGGCCGACTTTGGGCCCCGGCTGCCAGCAGCCGTCTTATGTACTCAAAGTGTCCATCTCAACGAGCATCTTTACGTGCGGATAGTTTTCAACTCGGCGGACCCGACACGCCTACGCGAAAGTTCGTAATTCGTGTCTCAGTCCTCAGGCTGGAGTTGGTTGAAGAATTGAGAACCAGAGTCATCGAACCGTGTTGGCAATTTCTACGAAGCCACATTTAAGGCTCCGAAGCTCAACAGGCAGCCAGAAGGTGTTCCCGGAGTTGAGGCTTCAGTTTTGGATTCATTAGGCTTCACACGATATGTCTTGTAAGAAGGGAACTCGCTCTCTCGTGTGCTGCGCCAGACAGGGATTTCCCTCAAGCCTAAACACGTAACAGCCGGCCTGACCAGGCTTCGAAGTATACTGCAGACGACTACTTCGTGCTGGAGGTGCGGTTTGCTGTCGCAGAAACCTGTAAGGCTAGCTCCGTGATCGCCTTCTGATTATAAGACCTTGCGAGCTACCCGAAGGAAGGTAAGATTCCCGAGTATGCCTTCACATTTCAAAAGTGGAATCAGGCCCTTCAGAGGCTAGGCCTTTAGCGGAGCAATAGTCTATGGTGGTGTGGTTCATGGGGTGAGGTTCCTGAATGTACCCTGAACGCAGACCGACCCTGTTTTGTAGTAGACGTGTACATACTACAGACCCAGTCTGTTGTTTGAAGCGTTCCTGCACTTCCTGGTTCCTCTCCAAACCACCTAGAACTGGACCTCCGGACAGTCAACGGGCTTGATTTCATCAAGGAGGTTCCGCATCCTGAGCACGCGACGTCATCCCCGTCATGATCGCCATAGCTACCCTAACTTGAGCCCGCTGTTCAGCCAAGGTTCTAAGTTTCGACAGCTGGACAGGTGTTGGCTTCTAGGTCGCTGGGGCTTGTAATGCTCGACGAAAGTTCGAGGCCGAGGCGGTCATCGCCAAAGCTCTCGCACGGCTCGAGGCTGGTGGTCGCCAGTCCACTTTCAACTACACACTCCCAGAAGCAATCTCATCGTTTTGGAGCCGTTCTCCGAGCCTTCAATAAAACGCCTGGATACTTAATAGCCCGGGGTTCTGTACTTCTAAGCCCACATGAAGACTTAAAGCATCGCATCTGAAGTTTGAAGACCTTGAGCCCCTGCTTCATCAACATCACCCCATGTTACATTGCTTGAAACCTGGTCATCTTCTCGACGTGGAGCCTGAATTGGGACCTTTGCTTTGCAATCTGGCCTGGTGTTGCTGCTAGCCCCCTCGCTTCCTCAACAAACTGAATACGAATGTGACTCCGACTTCTGAGGGATGGAAATCAACAAATCAATAGGATCTACAAAAGTTCACCAGGATCAATAAAGAACTAATACAGTTTCGCTGGGATTGCTGTGCTTGCTGCCATCATTATTAATTGTATTATTTCTTCTCCTTTATTATATTATTAATGGTTCAATAGTCTCACTACAAAGCACTTCGAATACGAGTACAAACAACAAAATACGCACATATTTCTATACATATATATATATATATAGATTCATCTCTACACATGTATATATATATATACAGATATATATATATATATATGTATATACATATATATGTGTGTATACATATATATATATATATATGTATATGTGTACAGAGTATGTCGAGTTTATAGCTTATAGAGTATATACAGTGTATATTGTATGTATAGTTTATGTAGTACATAGATACATTTTTGTACAGTCTATGCAGTTTCTGGCTGCCGGAAGACGCATCCGATGCAGAACTTCTTGTTGTGTTTGCCCTTATGTGTATATATATATAAATATATATATGTATATGCACACGTACATAAGTCGTGGTAGTACTGGCAGTAGTAGTAGCAGTAGCAGTACCAGTACCAGTACCAGTACCAGTACCAGTACCAGTAACAGTAGCAGTAGCAGTAGCAGTAGCAGTAGC